TGGAGGGTAGAGATCCCAACCAAATGGGAAAAATTGAGATCTACAGAAAAACAAAGAATTGCTGTGTTCTTACAGAATTTATCAAGGCCTCTTGACAACTTCACAGTTGCTCCATTCAGAAGCCAACGCTTTTTAATTAGAATCCTAGTCTATTTGGTAGGAGGAAATTATCAGAGGAAAATGTAAAACAACAGGGGAAAAGAAAACAAGATAATGAGGAAGAGAGCAGGCATGAGGAAGAGAGCAGGCATGAGGAATAGAGCTAACCAACAAGTGACTTTAGGGTCCTAGTGAAACTGGTATTGCTGCTTTGACAGGAGCAAAGAATCTACAAAAGAAAACATGGGTTGTGTGAAGGAATCCCAGAATAAATAGCTGATACAGAGAATACAAAACATACATTTAGAGGTTGAACTGGAACTGATGGATGATGCTGGAGAAGTCCCGTCCCAAGAAACATTTCCAGCTGCTTCTGACGAGAGCTATCTTTACCAGTACATTTTTATATCTTCTCTGTAGAGTGATTTGAAGATTCTGAGCTACAGAAAACTGTTCAGATTTCCCTGCTTCTTCATTGAATATGTTTAGAATTTGGCTATGCATAGCTTTTGAACCAGTATAAAGTGCCAGCGGAGATCGAGGAGATAAAATTGTTGATCACTTGAGCTCGTCATATGCCATGTCAAATCTCTTTCAAGGTTTATCTGGACATGGATGATTCCAGGTTGTAGTTCTAGTGTTGTGATCAATATAATACGTGCCGTTTTCCCTGTTGCTGCATCAGATCGTTTCTCCCAGCCTGGTGGCAATGGAGCAGTATATCCACCACCATAGTTATTGACTGCCTGATATATAACAGTAAGCCAAATCACACTATCAAGTGATATGGCCAACCTCTTGCATTGCTCCACAAAACATTGCAGAGCACCAAAATAACTAATAGAATTCCAAGGAATCTGCAAAAATTAAAACGAATGACTCCATTTTGATGTGATCTTATGCAGAAAGCACCGGCAAATCATCGGTGTAGAATTGAGAAGAGTCACAACAACTCGGACAACAAACAGAAAATTACAAAGAATTGAAGGGGTTATGACTAATTCCACAAAAATAAAGAGCCCCGCAAGAAAATAATACTATAAAAGAATCAAATTAAAAAAATTGATCCCTCACGCATATATTAATGGGGGGCTTCTTGACTCAAAATGTAATTTGGGTTGGAGTTTTTTTTTTGGTCAAATCAACATATCAATTTACTCATGATATGATTAGCTTTATCAAACCTAAATGAGATTCAAACGAGTTAATTTTAATAATTTTTTTAATTAATAGAAACAAAAAAACATGTTACCAAACTACTATAGAGAATACTATGCATATAGACTAAAAAAACTATAATGGCAACACTTTAATTACATTTTTCCCCTTCTAAAAATGTGTTTGGTATTGTAATAGTTGTGATTTGAAAAAAATAATTTTATAAAAAATATTTTTAGTTAAGGTTAGTTTGAAAAAATATATATTTTATTAAAACTGTGGTTCAAATTCATTTTATTGTATAATTACATAAAAGTACTTAATTCATAATATTAATGAAGTAACATTACAACCAATAATTTTTTGCAAATAGACCTAAACATATTAGAGCAATAATTTATAATTATGTCATTAAACTTACAACAATTTTATCACATACGTAACCCATTCGCGAAAGCTTTTGGTGTCCTTGACTTTGTGAATGTGGAGCCACATCAGTTAGAAAATCATTGAACACAAAATCAGGATAGCGATCGAACTCCATAAATGCCACATTTTGTATTGAAGTTCTTCTAATGTAATCATCAATTGTCATGGATGCGAAAATAATTTGAACTTGTGCTTTGTAATTATAGGATGACATATTCTGTAGGATTCACTATCTTTTTTTTCCAAACTCTAAATGTTCGTTCTATCACACAACGTAATGAAGAGTGCATACGGTTGAAAATTTTTTCACAGTTTGTGGTTGTCCTCGCCTCCTAAATTCTTGCAAATGATATCTCTGACCTCTATATGAACCTAAAAATCCATATTCATTAGGATATCTCGAATCAACCAAGTAGTATTTCCTTGGAAAAACGTATAATTGTTTTATACTGAAAATTGCAAAAAACAAAAAAAATCAAATAACATTAATTATCATATATATACACATACATACATATATTGCTGCCTTCTGGTGGCTTAGGAAATTTTATACTTAGATTGTCAATTACCTTAAGAAAAATTTGTATATCATGTGCACTACCTTTCCAAGTCGCCCAAACAAATGTGAATTGTATGTCAAAGCTACATACAGCCATAACATTCTGGGTTGGCACACCTTTTCCATTGATATACGAAATTTGATTTTCAAAAGAAACACATGTGCACCGTTGATAGCCCCTACACAATTCTAATATACGATAAACCGGTAAAATAACATCAATTTGAGCGGACTAAAAAAAATTAAATTTCATAAATTCATGAAATACGAATCACAATTAACAAATACGATTAATAACATTACCTTGAAATGTGGCATTTACCTTGGATTGTTAACAATTTCCTTCGGTGTGTTTACGAATCCGGGATCTGCAGGTTGAATTAAATCTATAACGAGTGAATAAATTAATCTAAAAATCTCATTAAAATACCTACTAATTTGTATCCTAAGTGTTGGAATCTCTACTGAACTTCTCTATTGGAAGCATCCAAAGTTATTGTATAAAGAAATATTCTAACTTTTTCAAAAACACACATTCTTCTAGATGCCTTTAACTCATATTGGTTTTCAAGTTTAAAGCACAGCTCTAAAATGTTGTCGCATCCATCCTAAACATGTTTACACGGCGTGTCTAATGTCCATGTAATATTTTTTTCAACTATTGCATTCCAGTGTTGTACAAATCCATACAAGGCTCCTTATATATATAAGTATTATAATATAAAGTTATGGCACCTGCCGTGTATAAAATTAATTTTTGATTATCGGACTTTTTTTTTTCTAAAATAACTCATCTTTTTCATCTAAATCATCATCATCATCGTCAGTATCAGAACTGTGATTACCATTGCAATCTCCATCATTTATAGAAGAATTACCATAATTAATGTAATTGGCAACGTTATTCAATACGTCATCATAATCCCCATAAAAAAGAGCTAAAAACTAGTGCGAATCCATATCTATTATGCCATATAAATTTTTGTGAATAATTAAATATTATATGACTTGTTACAAAAAAAACACAAATGGATAATACAAACTAAAATAAGTATTATTATTCACTTTCTTCACATTTAATGAAATTTTGCTCGGCTTTTAAATTTTATAAGGCTATATTTATTTGCAATTTAGTCATTTACCTCCTTTGAAAGTGAAATTGAATTTCTTTTTCCAAAATGCCTATTATCTCTAATCAAAATTTCTAATTCCACTTGTTATCCACAACATAAAAAATAGAATTTCAAGAGATTAAAATAGAAATTCTAGAAATAATGAACAATTCACACACAAATTGTTTTTCATTTTCATTTCCTACTTCCACTATTTCATTTTTTGTGCTAATTATAATATGTCAATTGTACCATGAAAATTGCATTTCCAAAATTGATTTGTGTGTGGAGCAATAATATTTTCATTTCCCTCTTGCTTGAGTTAATAAATAATAACCGTGTTTGTCACCTTCCCTCAAGATTCAAACCGGCTCTACTTATAGAATGCTGCTTCAGCACATTGAACAAGACAATAATGACATGATGTAAAAGAATATATAATGACAGAGGTCTCTAACAAAGCTAATGATTTTCTACCCTTTGGTATCCTAATGCACACCATAAACAAACATTTAAAAACCTAAGAAACTAAACTGACTTTTAATGAATATCATAACATTAACCAATCAGCTGCAACCTAATGAA